AGCGAGGCCTCTCTAAGGAGGTGTCATCTGAGGAGCCAAGAAGCAGCTGGCCTTGGAACAAGCGTCACATGGTGCCAAATCCACCCCACCAGGATGGCACTGCAGGGAGGAACCACAGAGCTCCGATAGGACATCTCAGTGGGGAGGCATGTGGGAAGGTGTCCCCAAGGTGCCTGACACCTGCCATGGGCTCCATGGACTCCTGTCCCCTCTATTCTCCCTCATGGGTCTATGAACCCCCAAAGCAAGGCTCTGTGTCTTCTTCCTTTCCTTCCGTCTCCAACACCCCGTTCTGCACAAGGCCTGGCCTGCAGCAGGTGCTGGATCAGTGTCTGCTGAGTGAACAACTCCTGAAGGCCAGCAAGGAGGAAGCATGAGGACAAACCCAAGGAAATCCTACCTTAGTCTACAAGGAATCGCTTGATGGAATCTGTGGCCCCTATAGGTGGCTGAAGCAGGAAAGACAAAGGGATTCCAGAGATGGGAGGAGGTGTCGCCTACACAATTGGAAAATTTCACACGAAAGTCCAGATTTCAAGCTATTTTTAAAATATCTGAAGATCTGGCAACCCGGAGCCTGCATATCCCCATGGCAACACCAGCTGGTGCTGAGCGGCCGCTGTCCCCTTCAGACCGGACATGTGCTCTGCCGCTGTCCACGGACCCGCTGCTGCCTGTTGCCGAGGACATCTGGCCCACCTCACACAACCACGTCACCTGGCGCCCTGGGTTCAGTCATTTGGCCCCCTGTTTAAGACATTTTATGAGCAGAAAGCTGTGCCAGGGACATGGGGACTGTGGCAGCTGTCCCATCAGCCCGCTGCTCAGGAGCCTCAGCCTGGGGTACCCTCCCTCAAGTTCTTAGACTGGCAGATGTCCAGTGTGTGGGGGCTTCCGGATCCACATAAATCCGTTCCCTGGGCTGGGTTCCTCCCAGGTAGTAGGAGGGCTGCAAAACGCAGACGCTTCATCCTGAGGACAGAGATACAGTTCCTGTCCTACGCCAGAAGGGGGCGACTCTCTGCCTTGTCTTCAGAGCTGCCTGTGAAGGCCATTTCTAGCCCACCCAGGGCCTAGCTCCTGCTGCTAGAGCACCACCCCTGGGTCCTCCTGGGTTCCAGAGGGCCCTGCGTCCCCACCCTTTGCCACTTGGGGTGACTACTGAGGCCCAGCCTGCCTGGCAACATGGTGGGCTCAGCCAGGATTGGCCGGGCGAGGGCACACTCCAGGAGCCCAGGGAGGGCTTCAGCCCACCCACCCACCTTGCAGCCCTTCTGCCTGTGTCCCAGGAGCTGAAGGGCACCTCTGTCCTTGCTTCTCTTCCTCCTCTTCTGGGCGTGCTCAGCCCTTCTGAGGCCTGTTCCCTCAGGGCTGACCCTCGAATTAAGTACTTTGTGCTTGGAACCGTGTTCAGGCTCTGCATACTTTATTTAAAATGCCGACAATCCTATAAGGTAGGTTTTAATCCCCATTTTACAGGTGAGGAAACTGAGGCTTGGACAAGGACACACAGCTAGCAAGTGGTGACATCAAGATGCAAATTCAGGCCTGTGGAAGCCCCTTCCCTGAACTGCCTCATTCCCATAAAGGAGATTTTAGAATCAGTCCATGAAGTGGGAGGAGGGATTTTGGTTTGAGGGCAGGGGACATCCCCTTGCCAGGTCGAGCCTGAAACCCCTACACACAGGCCACCTAATCTGTCAGAGCTGCCCAAGGACAGGGGCTGAATCTGGGGTCCCTAATAAGTCAGTTAAGAAGCCAAGGGCTAAGAGGCCCCCGGTCGCCACCAGGGAGAAGTAGCTCCTGGCCCCCAGGGATTTACTGACCACCTCACCATCCCCACCTGGGCCACAGTCTGAGCAGTGGGACACAGCCCCACACGTGCTACAACTTCTGCCTGGAACCCTTGAGGGGGTGATGAGTGGGCAGACAGGCAGCAGGGATACCTGGAGGGCTCGAACGGCCCCATGGGAGCTTTATGGCAGCAGCAGAAAACCCAGAATCTGCACAAAGCGAGTTCGGGCAACACTGAGCACAACTCAGTCAGCTCCTGGCTCCTCGTGGGTCACAAGCCTCAGGAGCTTCCCCTACCCCCACCCCCAGAGGGACAGAGAAGCCCCTGGGAGAGCACCAGCCCCTCTGAGACTAGCATGGAAATGTCCCAGCTCCCAAGACCAGGGCCGCCGCGCTGTGTGGGAAGAGACGTTCTGCCCAAGAACGTCATCCACTTTCCCTCCCATGTCCCCAATATGACCAGCAGATCCATCCCCAATTTTACCTGTTGATCCTCCACCATCGAAGCCCAGTGTAAAGGCTGCCTTCTCCAGGCAGCCCACCCTGATCCGAGCCCTCAAACCTGGTCATTATCTCCCCCTCCTAAGACCCCTGGGACTGCGTGGACTTCTCCCGTGGAGTTGAGGTCAGTCTGCTTTGTGCCATAATTGTTTCTGAGCTGCTGTCTCCTCTGACGAGGAGACTGGAGGGCAGGGCAGGTGCCAGTGCTCCTAGCACGGGGCCTCAGACACGCAAGCCCATGATGCACGTTGGATGGACAAATGAGAGAGTGGGTAGGGGGCTGATGGCCCACAGAAAGTTCAGTGACGTCTCCCGTAGTCGCCCAAGATGCCCAGACTTCCCTCCTGCTCCCAGGGAATAAGATTCCCTCGTCTCCACGACACAGCTCCTCCCCTGCCTCGGTGAATTTAAAAGTTAAAAGACTGTCTACAGTGTGGAGGTGCCAGGGAAGCTGGGAGTCAGACCCGTGTTCCTTCCCTCATCGGACCTCCGTGTCCCGTGGATAAGATGAGGACATTAGACTAGATGATTTCTTGGGCCCTTCCAGCTTAAAACGCATGTCCGTGCTGGGACCCAGCAGAGAACAGGGGAGACTGACTGAGCCCAGCTCAGCTTACAGGAGGCTCTGGGAGAGTTTAGACAAAAGATGAAAAGAAAGAGAGAAGGGCAGAGGAGGAAGGAAAGGAGGGAGAGGGAGAGAAAGAAAATTTATTTCCATATCCCAAATTTAAAAATGCATGTAGCATGTAAGATTTCCCAAATACACAGTGTCTTTTAAAAAAAAGTTGATTTGAACATACTGAATTTAGCATCACAGCATGTAAGAAATGACCTTAACATGGTGGAGATGCCGTGGGCACAGACAGCCCAGGGCACAGGACACCAACAGGACAGATGGACTGAGGGCGTGGGGGAGGGGAGGGAGGATACTCTTCTGGCCACCTCCTCCCCTACTCAGCCTGCTTTATATATTGATCTTACGAACCCGGTGTATTGTTGGAATAAAAGGTTTCTGGTGCTTTTTTTGAAAAAGCTACTTAACTAATGAAGAGAAGCAAGAGGCCCAGAGGAAGGTGATTTGCCCGAGGTCATTTAACAAGTGCATCAAACAATTCCTGATATCATGAATCCAGTCACATCCATTAGGGGCAGAGGGGCGCTGCCGGATGCAGCTGCCCCGACTGGACAGCTTAGATATGTATACTCTGGCTCGACGCCAGCAGGCTCAGGGGGAAGTCACCAGGCTCCTTTAAACAACATTCCTCTAGGACAGGACCAGATGGATAACCCAGACCAATTAGGAACCAGAAAACCTCCAAGAGGGAGAGTGCCCAGAATGGGGGCGGGGCGCGGGGGCCTCAGGGTGGCAGCCCAGCTTGCTGCAAGCCTCACAGTCGAAAACCTTCCTAAAACAACCCCTTGGCTGGCTTGAAGTATAATTTAATCTTCCTTTGATGACTCCGGATATCGCCTTGCCTTGGGCCGCTCTCAGAACATCAATAACTGCGGGGCCCAGGTGGGAAGCAGAGGGGAGAGGCTGGACCCAGGTTTACCCGCTGACCCTGCCTGCAGTCAGGGGACAGCTGGAGGAGACTTCAGGGGGAGAAGCCCAGGCCGGGCCCTGGGGGCTGGATGCTACCTTGGTACATAGGGGGCCCAGAAGGAGAACGGGAAGGCCCCCAACCAAGAAGGGGAGCCCTAAGGGGTTGCCTCCATAGACCCCCGCAGCAGGTGGGAGGGGGCAGCTCCCAGGGGTCCCTGGAGGTAGAAACAAAGAGTTAAAGGCAGGCAGGGGTGATGTTGAAGACCAGGCTAGGTGACTTTGCTAAGGGAGACGCAATATAGTACAGCATTCCATGGATTTCTTGGAAAATGTTGGTTCTAAGGGACGGAAGTGGACTTGCGGCCACACTGCCCCTGTGCTGCCACCTCCTGGCTGGGGGACAGTGGGCAAGTTACTTTTTTTTTTTTTTTTTCCAGACAGAGTCTTGCTCTGTTGCCTGGGATATAGTGCCATGGTGTCAGCCTTGCTCACAGCAACCTCAAACTCCTGGGCTCAAGCGATCCATCTGCCTCAGCCTCCTGAGTAGCTGGGACTACAGGCATGCGCCACCATGCCCGGCTAATTTTTTCTATATATTTTTAGTTGTCCAGCTAATTTATTTCTACTTTTAGTAGAGATGGAGTCTCTCTCTTGCTCAGGCTGGTCTTGAACTCCTGACCTTGAGTGATCCTGCCTCCTCGGCCTCCCAGAGTGCTAAGATTACAGGTGTGAGCCACCATGCCTGCCCTGGGCAAGTTACTTAACCTCTCTTTGCCTCCATCTCCTAATTTGTAATGTTAGACTAGTGACAGGGTTGCCATGGGGGTTAAACCAGCCTAACGTCGGCTGCTAGAAGTTGGGGTCTTGGACTTCTAGTCTCACCTCAGAGGGACCCTCAGGGCTCCGGCTAGACCCCCTCCCAGTCTCTCCATAATGTGAGCCTCTCCCGGCTGCCTGTTCCTCAGTCCAGCCCACAGCCCTGCTGGGCTCAGCCAGGCCCCCACCGCCCTGCCCCCGCCGGCTGAGGCAGCCCTTTGAGGAGAGCTGGGTTTGGTGGGTCCACAGCACTCTCCCTTCCGGTGATATTAATCCTCAAAAGAAAGTCAAACATTAGCCCGAGAAACAGCTTATGCCTTATATAAGCCCCCCTGGGGGGAGGCACAAACACAGCTTGTTGGAGCTGAGCTGCCCGACTACAGCAGCTGCCAGGCCCTAGGACAGATCAAGGACCTCAACCACACTGACCACCAGCACCACCGGACCCGGACCCCGCCACCAGGTGAGGAGGGGTGGAGGGCCCCCAGCCTAGGCACCCAGGAACTCCTGAGAAGCTCCCAAGGCCAGGCCGTGCTTCCTCATTGTGACTGGCCAAGCCCCTAATGCCCTCTGAGACCTGCTTGGGCTCTTTCTGCTACCCTAGCATGGTGGGCCCAGCCCCAGAAACAGCCAGAAGGCTCTGGGCTGGGGGAGGTCTTTCGCAGCAGGCAGCCCGAACTCTGCTAACCTTGTTTGTCTGCCTGGAGCAATCAGGAATGCCCCCCCATCCGACCCACCCCTGCCATCTACCCCGTGTAGCCAACATCCAAGACATCCCTTGGTCCCTGCTCTGTGGCCTGTACTACCCCATACATGCAGCTGGGCACACACATACTCACACCCACGGGCACACACACACAGCCACACACCTGAGCTCACACAGCTCTGCCCTTATGCTCCAGCCTAAATGTGCACTTACCTGTAGACATCTCTGTGTCCACACACCCAGACACACACATACACACCTGTGAACCCGCGACCCTCCATGCAGCTGGGTACACCCTCGTGCATCCACACATGAATCTGTGGATACGCATACCTTTACACGTTTACACATGCACCGTTCCACACGCTTGCGCCCACCCTCCCACGTGTGGTTGTGCACCCCTCCACAGGCCCACACATCACACACTCACACGCAGCCCTCTCCCTGGCCCAGTGCCTCGCCCACAGCTCTAGCTCATCTCACCCCAGTGCCATGACCTTCTCTGAGATCCTGGACCGCGTGGGCAGCATGGGCCGCTTCCAGTTCCTGCATGTGGCCATTCTAAGCATCCCAGTCCTCAACATGGCGAACCACAACCTGCTGCAGATCTTCACAGCCGCCACCCCTGCCCACCACTGTCGCCCACCCCCCAATGCCTCCGCAGGGCCCTGGGTGCTCCCCATGGGCCCGGATGGCAAGCCCGAGACATGTCTCCGTTTTGTACATCCGCCCAACGCCACCCTGCCCAACGACACCCAGAGAGCCACTGAGCCATGCCTGGACGGCTGGGTCTACAACAGCACCAGGGACACCATTGTGATAGAGGTACGCCTGGGTAGCCCCTCTCCCTCTGCTAACAGCAGACACCCCATGCGCCCTGCATCATCTGTGACAGCAGAGGAGCGGGGGCCTGGTCTGCCGAGGATCACAGGTCAGGCCACTGGGCTGGCGAGGAGGACGGGTGTGGGTGCGGGTGCACACCAGCCAAGAGCTGTGGCTGCGTCACACTCAGAGTGCAAGCGTTTCTTCTACAAAGAGCTAGCGAGGGCCTGTTCTGTGACAGGCACAGTGCTAAGCTCCGGGAATAGAAAAATGCACCATCCCTGTTCCCATGGGGGCCTACCACCTAGTGGGGATAGCACCAGTTAATGAACGTACAACACACAGTGTAAAATTACAACTTCAGAGTGACCTTAGACTGTGACCTACCCCTGAGCTGGGTGTGGAGGCGGGTGGGCATGGGAGGAACCCTCCCTAAAGAAGCGACTCCGGAGCTGAGATATGAGCATCGGGCAAGGGTTAACCAGGCAACAAGGGAGAGGAGGGAAATTCCATCTTGTGCAGAGGCCCCAGGAAGGGCGGGCATGGTGGGGAGGGGCTTCATGGCGTGGAGGGTTGAAACACTCCTGAGCAGATCCAGAAAGCGTCTCACCCACACGGCTCTTCATGCGTTCGCCTCCCATTCATTCATCCCTGCACTGATGCGCTGACTTGCACCTGCCGTCTTTCGGTGTACTGAGTCATGTCGGACTCGTCGGTGAACGGACAGGCCAGTCAGGGGACTATGATAGGAGGAAGATGGCAAACGGGAATTGGCGTTTATTGAATATCTACTGGCTGCCAGGCACATGTTGGTGCTTTGTAGACATTGCCTTGTTTGGTTCGGACAATGATGCTCTGTTGAAGTTGATTTCTATCTCCCTTTATAGATTTAAGAAAAACAAAAAACTAAGACCCAGAGAAGGGAGGTGATTGTCCAGTACAGAGGGTTAGTCTGGGAACTGGAATTTAAAGCTAAAGCCCGTAAGAGGTACAGGGAGACAAATATTTATGAGAGTTCAAAAGAGGGAGAAGCCACTGATTGGAGGGAGGCTTCATGGAGGAGGTGGCGTCTGAGCAGTGAGCAGAGACCCATGTTTTCACTCTCCCTCGGGGGCTGTGAGCCCCTCGAGGGCAGGATCCTGCTTTTGCCTCATGAGAGGATCTGCACGGCAAAGCCCTACCCGGTGTCAGGCCCGCGCCAGGCACACTATGTGTGTGGGCTTCTGGAAGCCCATGAGATGTAGCCTCTGGGCGGGAAGTATTATTATCTCAGTTCACAGAGGGGGAAACTGAGGCCTGGCCGGTTCCAGGCCTTTCCCAGGTTCACATGGCTAGACCCCGGCAGAGGCAGGATTTGAAGCTAGGACTATCTGCGTTCAGAGTCTATGTAATTGCGACTCATTTGTTTAACGGATATTTATTTATATATGAAGCTCTTAACTGTGTTCTAAGCACCTTATGGATATTAACACTTCTAACCTTCCTGACAACACTATACAGTGTTAGTGTTATGATCCCGTCTGTGAGGTGTGCAAACCGCAGCACACAGAGGTTACGTGGCTTGCTCAAAGTCACACTACTGGTACGTGGCAGATTCAGGACCTGAACACGGGCACCTGCCTCCAGGGCTGTGCTCCTAAACATGGTGTTTGCTGCTCCCATGTCCCTAGACTGTATCTCCTCCCTGCTGCGTTCACTGTTTCTCCCCAGCGTCAAGCATAGTGCACCCACGCATTTACTGCTATCCAATGCATTACGCTGAGGACGCAGAGTGGAAGAGCCCACCAGCCCCACCCGCCCTCCAGGGCTTCACCTCTCGTGAGGACACAGACCCACCCCTCGAGAACGGTGGGCAGTTTGGTGGGTCACGCAAGTTCCCCGGGGCAGAGGTTTTCCGCTGCTTTGCGGTGTCACTGCAGTGTCCCAAGCACCTAGAATAGTGCCGGGCACAGAATGAATGAGGATGCTCCGAGAGCCCAGAGGAGGGGTATCGCGCCAGCCCGGAGCAGGTGCTGAGGAGGGCTTACTGGGGTCGCAGTGCCTGCTCAGTGCAAAGGAGAGGTGTGAGCTACGGAGCAGGTGGAAGTGGGCAAGCGCGCTGCAGGCAAAAGAACAGTGTGGGAGGAGGGGGCCAAATGCAAAGTAACAGAAGCACGAAGAGAGCAGAACAATCAGGATTGCAGGTGCCAGGGGATGGCTGGCCCAGCAGTGGGGTATGGAAGCCCCGGACGTGGGGCTGGAGAGGACAGCAGGAGGGCCTGGCTTGGATGCTGAGGCCCTGTCTGAGGCAGTGAGGAGCCATTGAATGTGCTGGTGTTAAGCAGGAGAGTGGCCAGCTCAGATGACCTTCTAAGGACCATCACTCGGACTGCCTGGCAGAGAGTGGCCTGTAGACAGTACGGCAGCAGGGAGGCCCGTCTGCCAGTTGCACAGGGATTCAGGACAGATAGAAGGGACAGTCGGAATAGACACCAGAGAGATCAGGGAGTTGGAATCCGTGAGGTCTGGTAACTGAATGTAACAGTAATGTGAGAAGTGAGGGATGGAGGGAGCCGAAGATGCCTCAACACCCAGAAGTCAGTGTCCAAGTGTCTGGGTGACTTGCTGTGCATCTGGGGCCTGGGATGACAAAGAGGAGTAAAAGCCACCATCCACATCCTCCAAAAACATGGAACGCAGCCAAAGAAACAAAAATCCCATAGGGAACAATGAAATAGTAATCGTTGCGAACATCTCTTCCGTGCTCGCCATGTGCCAGATGGTTCTAAGCACATCGCGCATATGAACCCAGTTAATCCTCACAACAACCCTCTGAGGTTAGCACCTTTATTAGCGCATTTTTGTAGATGAGGAAACTGAGGGACAAGTCACTGGCCCAGGGGATCACATTTTGTACATGGTGGAGTGGGGAGTCACATCCAGGTACCCAGGCACCAGAGCCCCTGCTCCTCGAGACTGCACAGCCCCCCTGCACAACCTGGGAGGCCGACTGTGCGCCCTGCTGCCCCGCGGAGGGTGTCGCGGGGGTGCTGTGCACAGATGCTCCTTCCCGCTTTCGGCAGCTCCCCTGGGGCAGGTGCCGTGTCTCTCCCACCCGTCTCTGTCGTGACAGGACTAGGTACATGGCAAGTGCTCGGTCGATGCTGAATGAAGGACATGCCCTCTCAGAGCTTCACGGGAGGGACGAGAGGGACAGAGACACTGCTGACCGCTGGAAGCAGCTTGTGCTCCAGGACATGCCTCAGGCGACCCGGCGGGGGGCCTGGCCAAGCGCAGAGGCTGCAGGCCTGGTACCCAGGCCAGCATCAGTTCACGCTTGTGCCAGCTGAGCTCCCAGTCATCACGCCAGTGACTAGGACAGTGTGCATCTCCAATCCAGCAAGACGCAGGGGTCACCAGGCCTCAGGGTTCTACTGCACCCTTCTCCAGGTCAGGGCTGCTCCCTGAGGACCCTCAGCTGTGAGAATTCATAGGAGGGGTCCCCGCCCAGTCACTGAAGCATCAGTAGCTGGGCACGGCAAGGGCAGAGCCCTCTGGTTGCTCTGTTTGTGGTTCAGCCATGGCAAATCTAGGCTCCATCTGCTTGGGTGGGGCGGGGTGGGGTTCTGGCCCCCATGTGGTAGAGGCAGAGCAGTGGCTGGACCACCTATGGGTAGGTGGGTCTCTAGCACAGAGGCAGAGGACTGGATGTGCTGGCTCTGGGTGGGGCGGGAGGTGGTGAGGGAGGCAGGGGTATTTGGCAGTGAGCGAGGTTGGTCCAGGTGACCGCAGCTGTGGAGGCAAACAGACAGCGTGGGATCGTGAACTAGAGTCCTACGACCAGAGTTCACATCCTGACTCTGCCAGTTATTAGGAGTGTCGCAATTCCTGGGTGTGTCAGTTTCCTCATCCGTCAAAAGGGCTAAGAAAGCAAGTGTGAGGGTTAAGGAGATAGTGCAAGCGCAGCACTCCGCACCAGCCCGGGTTCAGTTCGTGCTAGCGGCTGCTGTTGTTGTTACTGTTGTTAAGAGGCATGTCTGAGAACTAGAAAGTTAGTCCCCACCAGAAGAGTCCAGGGACCCCCTAGTACAATGGGAGTCAGCTCTCACAGCTCTTCCTGTCTTACCCAGGCTCCCAGACTCTGCCACCCTCCCGGCCCCCACCTGGCCCCTCTGTGCTGCTCAGATCCAGCTCCACCCCCACAGCCAGCGACCTGGAGAGTCACCTCCCCACTCCTGCTTCAGTCCCCGCATCTGTAGAGTGGGGGTTGCCTCCTGGAGGGGGCGTGAGGGTGGGAGGGCTGAGTTGGCGCAGCAGGCCAGCTGGCTCTGGGTTCGGACAGGAACGGAGGGCAGCCTCCCTCCCATTTCTGATCCCCTAAGCTTTCCTGGCAGTGGCTACCACAAATTCCTTTCTCTTGGTGTAGCAGAGACAGGGTTGGGATTTTTCAGAATGAGCTTTACTAGGACATTAAGAGGAAACAAAGCACTTTCTTTTAAGTCTGGGAAGCAGGGAGCGTGGCTTCTGGGTGCTGGGCTCCCTAGAGAGGCGCGTAGCCCACAGCTCACACCACTGAGCCTCAGACCTGGGGGCCTGGGCCTGGGCCTGGCCCTGGATGAGGAAGGCCCATCTCTCTAAGGCCCCTGGGCTTCCTCTCTGGGCCTTGGGCCTCCCTGTCCCATCTCCAGGGCCATAAGAAGCTTGTCCCCCCACCCACATAAGTCCCTGGAGGCCCCGGGTCAGCTGCTGGAAAAGCAGGAACCTGCCCAGTGGGGCCTCCCAGGAGCAAGGCTCCTCGGTGGGGAGGTGCCTCTGCCAGGTCTCCGGCCAGCCCCCTCCGACCTTCCTCCATCCCCATCCCCAGGTCCCCAGGCTGCCCAGCTCCTGGCCCACTCGTGCATCTCTCAGCCCCAGCGCACTCCCGCTTCACATCCCACTCGCCACCCTCAGCCCTGCCCAGGCCCCTGCTCCACCGTCTCCTTCAAGCCTCTAGTCTGACTCCTGGGCAGGGCCTGACAGCCCCA